TCCAATGGGGGAACAGCATACTGGAGACGGCTACTAGATTGACAGCAATCCTCACCTCTCCCCTACATTCCCTGCTTCTCCTTGCCCATCTTTTAATCTCATATTAGCAGCAGCAATAGCAATAGCACTTAGATTTATATGCTGCTTCATAGTGCTTTACAGCACTCTCTAAGTAGTTTACAGTCAGCATATTGCCCCCAACAATCAGAGTCCTCATTTTACTGACCTCAGAAGGATGAACTTAAGTCAACCTTGAGCCGGTGAGGATCAAACTCCTGGCACTGATCTGAATTAACTTGCAATACTGCATTCTAATCAATATCAATACATATTACTGTATTTTCGTTGTTTATTGTATTGTTTCAGCAAAACAGTATTTTGCTACTGTTACGTTTACACTTCTTTTCATTTCTTTGTTTTTTGATTCTGCAACCCAACAAGACAGACACAGACTTCAGAGGATAATTAGAACTGCAGAAAAAACAATTGCTACCAACCTGTATACTGCACGAGTCAAAAAGAGGGCTGTAAAAATATTTACAGACCCCTCACATCCTGGACATAAACTGTTTCAACTCCTACCCTCAAAACGACGCATAGAGCACTGCACACCAGAACAACTAGACACAAGAACTTTTTTTTCCCAAATGCCATTAAACAAATAATCCCCTCAACAGTGTCAAACTATTTACTAAATCTGCACTACTATTAATCTTCTCATCGTTCCTATCACCCATCTCCTCCCACTTATGACTGTATGACTGCAGCTTTGTTGCTTGTATCCTTACGATTTATATTGACTGTTTCCTAATATGATTTGATTGCTTATTTGTACCCCATGACTATCATTAAGTGTTGTACCTTATGATTCTTGATGAACATATCTTTTCTTTTGTGTACACTGAGAGCATATGCACCAAGACAAATTCCTTGTGTGTCCAATCACACTTAATAAAATTCTATTCTATTCTATTCTATTCTATTCTATTCTATTCTATTCTATTCTATTCTATTCTATTCTATTCTATTGTTATAAGTCAACTAGAGTTATCCCACAATTAGCTAGTTGGCAAATAAATTTAATAAACAAATAAACAAACAAATAAATAATTTCCCTCCAGGGATGCTCCCTTGTCCTTCCATGGATAATTGGATATACCCTTTGTTGTCGGGAAGCGGCTTGTGATGCTCTAATGAAATTGAAAGTTATGCTGGCAGTAGTGCAGCCTAGCAGATGAATCAGCCATGCTAGACAGAGTTTAGCAAAAGAGCTAGACTAAGTATATTCACCAAAGCATTTAATATGGAAAGAAAAGAGAAAAAGAATCTTCTACCAGATTGGTCATCACTCAGGTCAACAAGGACCGTGTCAGATATTAGAGTTCCTGTCAACAAGTGGTTTTGAACTATTAACTTCTTCTCATATCAACATATACAATGGCTCCCCACAGAACTGGGGACAGCTGGGACAGTAAGAAACCCCGTGCCTGGCTCTGAGAGAGAAGTTTCTTTTGCTTCACAAGCCCTGAAGAGACCTTGCCATGGCAGCAAAAATAGATAGCCCCACCATTAAAGCATGCGGGAGAAAAAGATATGGCCTTTTTGCCTGCCTAACATAGAATAGGAAGATAAGGCTTTTCTACAGATGTGGCCACTGCTGCCTCTAATCACCATTTTGTGCAGCAAGGAAAAAAGCAGGGAAGAACTGACAAAAGGAGAGAGAAAGATGGTAGCAGCAATTTCCTCATTGAGTAAGAAAAAATAATGTTGTAAAATGCAAAATAATGAGATATCTAATACCCCTTTGATCCCCAAGATACAGAGATCATTTAAAACACAAAAAATGAGAGTTGGCTGACAATATACCTATTTTTATGGCAGAAGAGGAGCCCATACAGGAGAAAGAGCAGAGACCTAGGATTCTAATACCATATCCATTAATTGGAGAGCAGTGTTTGCTCTGTCTATCCTTCCCTAACACTACAATAACAAACCACAGGCATTCATTATGAATTTGGATATTGTCCAGAAAATTCTATGATTTAGTCTGAAATGTCCTTATATTTATTCTATCTCAAATGTTATATATTCTAGAAATTCACTGGATTTTTTAAGACTTTGTTTCTTAATAATATGTGTTTTTAATTTAGATCTATATTTTCCATTTCTAGATAACACCTCAAGTATATGGAACCACTTATTTTTATGACACTGCTTTGCTACTCAGCAGACTGATAGCTGCTAAATCGAATTCTTATTTAGTGGGATCTTCAATGAAATCTTAAAACAAAGCATTTTTTTTTTCTCCCTGATGCTATTCTATGTTTGTTTTCATTTGAATTTCTGTGGCTACCGAGAATATTTCATTTTCACAGAACTGTTTGCAATTTTTTTTCTGGCATCTCACTACAATGGTTATGTTCTCATTTTCCTGGAGTATAATTTTGAAAAATAAATACTGTACTTCCCCAAGTGTATATTCTTCTGTATATAGCAAAAGAATACAAAAAATAAAAATCCACCTGAATTGTCTCTTATAAGATATAACAGTAATAGTAGTAACTGTGAGTGAAACAGAGGGTAGAAAAATAAATGGTAACTGTTCAATGTTGCATGGGTTACATATGTCAGACTGGAATATAATTTACTTTAATAGAAGTTATGTTGGGTTAGATTATCCAGAAATCAAATGGGAAAAGGTCTGCAACTCAAAGGAAATATGTTTAGCCATACTTTCCAGGATAGGCAGTAAAGGGATTTAGTGTACCAACAGAAACATGATTTAGGTCAAACAAGTCTACAGCATCAGAACCACTAACCTCTCAAACATATACTGAACAGTTGTAAGGCACTAAAAACAGTAGTTCTATAATCAGACTAATTACTGACAAGACAAGGCACATTTGAAAGAAGCTGTCAGAGAGGAGGTATTAGATCCTATAATCAACCAAACTATGAGCCCCACTTTACAAAGATCTAGGACTAACTGAACAGGCCACATATTTATCCCAACTGGCCAATAAACACCCATGTTTAAATAATTTAGCTTTTTTTTTTCTTTTTTAAGTTTGTAAATCTGAAAGGAGGACGATAGTATGGTATATTAAGATGATACACTAAGATAGAGAACATCTAGGTTCACGTACCCTTGATTACAGAAGCTCACTGAATGAGGTCTCACAGTCTAAGTCAGGGGTGTCATATTCGCGGCATCACGTTGTCGTCATGTTACATATCGTGACTTTTTTCCCCTTCGCTAAACCGGGGGTGCACGTGGCCAGCGCGTGACACATCTAGTCTAAGTCAACTAAGGTTGACTCAGCCTTCCATCCTTTCTAAGGTAGGTGAAATGAGGACCCAGTTTGTGGGGGCAATAAGCTGACTTTGTATAAATATACAAAAGTATGAAGGCTATTGCTTAACGCATTGTAAGCCGTCCTGAGTCTCCGGAGAAGGGCGGCATATAAATCAAATTAAAAAAAAAAAAGATGGTTGTTGGGAAGGGGATTTAAATATTAAATTATATACACTATGTTGAAGAAAGGGAAACTATAACTCTTACTTCCAAGAGTAAGAAAGTGGAGTAGAAATGTAAGTAAGAAAGTAAGAAAAAAGTGTAAACATTTTCTGTGAAGAATAAACATAATTTTAAATAAACAGAACTTAGCAGGCAAAGGTAAATGAATACCTCTTCATTTTTATTTAATGAGTAAACTTGTGGTTAGATCATGGCTGTCAAACTGCCAGCCCACGGGCCGGATGCGTCATGCGCTGCCCACGCCCAGTTTAGCGAAGGGGGAAAAAAAGTCCCAATACATCAAGTGATGCTGCCGTGAGTTTTACACCGCTGGGTTAGATGTTAATAGAATAATTGGGCATAAAAAAGGAGTTTCAATTAAATGTTGGTGGCAATTAGCTAAACCTTACAGCAGGCCAGAAGAATCTGAGATTGACACTGTTAGTCAATCAACATCTTTCAAGGACCAAGTTGCCCTGACATTCTGGCTTCAAGTGACATATGCCAGGCTTCCCTACTTTGTACAATAACTATCTCCCCTGCCATTCAGGTGGTCCAATGTAAAACCAATCAATTTGCAATTGCATATAATAGTTGTCTCAGAAATAAATTCATTAATTCTGTGAGCTGCTGCTTTAAGATTTGACCTGCCCTACAGTCATTCTCTTTCAGCCCAAGAGAGCAGGCAATGACTTATCACTTTCCAAATCTTACCAAGAAAACTATAGAAACTTGTCCTGTTGGTCACCCAAAAGACCAACCTGAAAACACACACACACACACACACACAACCAAACTCCAACCAAGAAGCTTTTTAAGTTGTTCTCAGTTTCACTTTGAAGCTACAATTGATTCCCACTTGCTTTTCAAAGCGGTCATAATAAAATCTTGCTTCCATTTAGCATTTTGGAGTATTTTTAGTAGGTCTGCTTTTAGGCTAGGGTTTGTATTACTTTGCTGTGATTTTATGTTGTAATTACTGTATCGTTTTATTGTTTCCCCACTTGACTTCTTAAAACAGCATTCAAATATCTTCAATAATTATTCTTGTAAGATGAGCAGGGAGCGCGCACTCATAAGGAAGTGTCAGAGCTCAAATGTCCTTAAGTAATATAGACCTACAGCACTTGCCCCGTCCTTTAAAAAAAACAAACATATATGCAGGATGATCTAACTAAAGGAAGTACGGGATCTTTTTGAAAGTGATGTCACCATGACGGACCTATTTTATTTAGAAACGACGGTGACCCAAAGGTTGTTAACTGATGCGGGTGGGGGGGAGAGAAACTGTCAAGGTGCAAGCACCCTGCTTCACACACCTGACAAGCACATTGCTCGACTTCAACTACAGGCAATGCGAGCCAGGCAGGTGCTCAAAATAATAAAGCGGTCCTCGAGCAAGAGCTTGCAGGAAACTGCCCTGCCCGGGCGGCGTTGTTTACAAGGGGAGACGAGTTGAGAGCGCGCGCGCACGCATACATACACGGAGAAGTGCTCACAAGCTGCAGCCACCGACCAGCGCGCGGCGGGCGATCACTCCCGCATACTAGCTACACCATTTCCTCCTTGCCTTTCTCGCCCCCCCCATCTCCCCGCCAATTTGGAGGACGCGCCATGGAACCGAGGCGTGGGAGGGGAGCGAGAGCCAGAGCCCGGGCCCGTCTCAAGCACCGCGCGGCCCAGCCGAGACTTTGTGCACCGCTTCTCTCGCGCGCGGAGGTTTCCCCTCTCCCCGCGCTTGTCGAAGGCGGAGCTTCGAACAGGAAGAAGCCGCCGACTGCGCGGCGTACTTAATAAGGAAGAGCTGGGCATGGAGACAGGGAGGGAGGGAGGAAGGGTTGTCCTAAATGTGCTTTGTCAGGAGGCAACTGGACTTTCTTGTTTTTTTTCGTTTGAAGACGTTTCTCTTCTCATGCAAGAAGCTTCTTCAGCTCTGACAGGACATTGAGGAAGGGTTTATATTCCTTGCAGACAGTGGTAATTTGCATCCTCTTAGACGGTCCTTGAAGCACTTGGAGGTTTATCTGTGTCCTCCAGGTTACCTGAGTAGTGCTCCTGGTTCCTGTAGTCTGCAGGTGACCCTGAGGACACAGTTAAACCTTCAAGTGCTTTAACGACCCTCTAAAGGGAAGCACATTACAAGCTGTCTGCAAGGAATATAAATTCTTCCATCCCCCCCCAAAAAAATCCTGTCAGAGCTGAAGAAGCTTCTTGGATGAGGAGTGAAACTTCTTCAAAAGAAACAAGAAGAAAGTCCAGTTGCCTCCTGAAAAAGCACCTTTGGGACAACCATGACCTGGATGACTGAGAAGCTCTACAGAAGGATGGGTTGCTTGCTGCGAGTCAATTAGCGGGGTAGATGGCAAGCCGCGTCCCTTGATGGCAAAAGGCGGTAACCCTTACAAAAGAGTTCTGGGCAAGTTACCGAGCGGCTACAATGAAAGCATGAATGGAGGTTTAGCACGTTTTACCAAAAAATAAAGCAAAAGGGGTGAAAAAGATAATAAATTAAAAAATAATAATAAAGAGCAGGGGTGAATAGCAATAGCAGTTAGACTTATATACTGCTTCCCAGTGCTTTATAGCCCTCTAAGGGGTTTACAAGAATTGGCATATTGCTCCCAACAATCTGGGTCCTCGATGGGTTTTTTTGCTTTTCCATATTTGACAATACAGGTACACCTTGACTTAACAGTTCATTTAATGACCGTTCCAAGTTACAACGTCACTGAAAAAAAGTGACTTATGACCGTTTTTCACACTCACAACCTTGCAGCAGCCCCATGATCATGTGATCAAAATTCAGATGCTTGGCAACTAGTTCAAGGGTGTCAAACATGGCCTGGGCAGGTCACACCCACCCCGGCTCCACAAGGGCAAAAATCCAATACATCGCGATATGGCCCGTGATGTGATGGGGCTTGACACCCCTGAACTAGTTCATACTTACGACCGTTGCTGTGTTTCAAAGTCATATGATCACCTTTTGTGACCTTTTGAGAAGTAAAGTCAATGGCAAAGCCAGTTTCACTTAACTGTGGCAAGAAAGATCATAAAATGGGGCAAAGCTCACTTAACAAATGTCTCACTTAATAACAGAAATTTTAGGCTTCATTATGGTCATAAATTGAGGACTACCTATATTTTCTTTTTGACATTATTTCAGAGCAGGGATACGGAAATAAAAAATAGTAAGCCAAGGAAATTAAAGAGCTCAGAACAAAAAAATGAAACAGGGTGAATCTAGCTAACACCAGCACGACTTTAGGGTTTCTTTTCGACCATGTCCATAGAAAAGCAAAGTCCACAGTTGTCTTTTGAAAAAATACCTTTGGGACAACCATGACCTGGATGACTGAGAATCTCCATAGACTTGTCCATATATCTACACTGTTTCTGTATTTCTGTCCTTTGAAGATAACAGCTCTTTCCTCAACTCCATCTAACCAATGTTATTGGGTTTTTTCTTCCTCTTGACCCATTATGCTTCTTTCACAAAGCATAATTTCGTTTTATTCAGTTCTCATTCATTTTCTCTGTAACCAAATCACCTCCATGTACTTGCATATTGGCCACTCTTTTGTATTCATTCTGCATACGTTCAGTACCAATTCATTCTTAATTCCGAATTTCGACCATTTGTTACAGTTCTTCCCTTAATATATCATCTTTCCAATACATATTTCTAAAATATTGCTTCCATATTTTCTTCATTTCAGTTTCACCACAAATCATTTCATAACTTTTAATGCCATTCACTGTGTTAGAGTCCTCATGTTTAGCTCTCTTTCCTGACTTTCAAAACAATCTATTCCAATCAAGATCATTTTGCATTTTCTTTGCCTTTTAATCTGAACTGTTCCTTCTCTTTCACTATGTTTTTTTGCAATTATGTTTCTCCTTATATACATTATACAATATCATTTCTCATTTTTGCAGCAATCTTTCTCTTATATGTAATTTTCTCATCCACAGACTTTCACTTTATCATTCCAAGCATCAATTTTCACACTTTCTAACAGCATATCCTGCACAGTTTTCTGGCACCTGCAACATAATTCTTTTTACTCTGTTCCAAGCAGTGTACATATCTTCTTTCTTATCCAGTTTCCATTTACCCCAGATCATTCCTGATGCTGCCAAAGAAATGCTCTGTCCCACACAGATAATTCCTCAACATTGTTATATTTTTCTCTTATTCTCCAATCATAAATAATTATAAACATTTATATATATATATCCCTGTCATTTAAATATGTATGAATGATTATGCTTGAAACCATATATTCAAAGCAATTAAAATTTTTATTTATAACTAGTCAACCACCATCAACATTAAAAAATAATAGTTAAAATCATGCAAAAGCAATAAAACCAGCAAACAGCATAATTGATTTAAATTTACAGTAGGAACAACTCACAATTATGAAATCCTTAATCTATAATCTGATAGCTCTGTTGTCTATCTTTGCTACTAAGTGTAACAACAAAACTATTCTAAACCCACAGCCATTCCCAATATCTGCTCACAATCACTTCCACCAATTCTCATTAAGTACCTTTTCAAGTCTTTCTTAAATACATCCTAGGATCTGTGAAGAATAAGGAGAGAAGATAGCTCGATAACCAGGGATGCACATAAATGAAACAGCCTGCAAAAGGAGGAAATGGAGCAAAGCTACTGTCCTATTGATTATGTTGGATAAATAGACTCATGCCAACATATTTGCTGAGGCAGGTAGTACAGTACAGCGAACTACAAGGCCTTAAGCATTAACACCAAGAGTTTAAATTGGGCTCTGACTTTAATAGGAGCTGGTTTAAGGTACAGCAATAGGGAAAAAAAATGTCAGAAATAAAGGAGGTTCAAAACAATGCTTACTGCATATTTCTGGACAAAGGTCAGTGAACAAAGACTGAGGAACCAAATACAGGTAGTCCTTGATTTACAACAATTCATTTACGACTGAAGTTACAATGGCACTGAAAAAAGTGACTGATGACCATTTTTCACACTTATGACCCTTGCAGCATCTCCATGATCACATGAACAAAATTCAGACACTTGGCAACTGAATCGTATTTATGAGGATTGCAGTGTCGCAAGGACATGTGATCACCTTTTGTAACCTTCTGACAAGCAGTCAATGGGGAAGCCAGATTCACTTAACAGCCGTCTTAGTAACTTAACAACTGCTGTGATTCACTTAACAACTGTGGCAAGAACAAATGTTTCATTTAGCAACAGAAATTTTGGGCTCAATTGTGGTCATAAGTCAAGGGCTACCTGTAGAACTTTTCTGAGTAGAATTTCAACAAACATTCACTATATTAATTCATTCAGTTTCAATGCAATCTAATCACTTACTCACTATTTTTACCAGTACCACCATATTTTTCAATCTGTTCAAAATGTTTTATATTTTTCCTCAAGATGCATCTCTGATTCTTCAACTATTGCTATTCACTGATTATGTAATAATATATATAAACATATGTAATTATCACCAATCTATGGATTCTGACTTTTATACAGATACAGTGGAACTTCTGGTCACGACCATAATTTGTTCGCAACCTGATTTGGTCATGACCCAAACCAAATTTTCCCATTGGATTGTACGTAAATATGATCAATCCATTCCAGACCCATACGAACTGTATATAAATATTGTTTTTTAAAGATTTTTAAGCACAAAAATAGTTAATTATGCCATAGAACTCACAGTGTAATATTAAAATGTAAAATCCTTTAATAAAATCCTTTAATAACACTAAGAAAACCTTGAACAACAGAGAAATCTGTCCAGTCGGTTGATTCTGAGAGAGAAAGATTACTGTTTTGAGGGAGAGTCTGCTTCCGCGATGGAAGAACGTTCTCCTTCAGGTGGTTTCTCTCTTGCGATTTCTTCGTCTTCTAATGTTTTACTTCAGGAATTTCTGGGTCAGGTTTTTTTTGTTTTTTATCCTTTTAGCTGGTGGACCAACAGTCACCAAAAACCAATCTAATGTGACTTGTCTTTTCCTGCGCATCAAAACTTTACGGGAATGAGAGATGACATGATCGTTCATCATGTTCAATACTCTATTCGTAAGAGTTTTGTAAGGGTGGTGCTTTTCAAAGAAATTCTGGCACCCATTCCATTTTCCTATGATATCTTTCAACACATCACTTTTAATCATCTCCCTTTCATCTTCTTCCTCTGATGACTGCTCCTCAGTGAGCACCTTATGCTGCCCATTCTGGAGTGTAACAAGTTCATCTGTTGTCGGTTCCTCATCGTGATCTTTGACCAGTTCCTCGATGTCATCACTGTCGACTTCAAGACCCATGTTCTTACCCATAGATATGATCTCCTCCACAACAGGAGGCTCAAATCCTTCAAAATCTCATTCAGCAACGCATTCAGGCCAAAGTTTCTTCCACGCTGAGTTCAAGGTCCAGTACGTCATGTCTTCCCAGGCTTTGTCGATGAGGTTGATGCAAGAGTATGGATGATATCAATTTATACTTTCTGACATACACTTGAATGTTTCCACTTGTAATTAAAATTACACACTCACCTTTCTGCATGTATTCATCAGCTGGACTTTACAAGCTCAGACCAAGATCATTTGGATCCATTACAACTTTCTCCTTTCTTTAGTTTCACAGTCACACATTATATCTATTTTTCTTTTGTTAGTTCATTAACTATTTATTCCAACTCATAATTTTTTACATCCCATGATCATATGGATAAATAC